GCGAGGTGGTGATAAGAACTCAGACATACACAATGAGATCAATGACATACATGATGACATCAGAGAGACAATGTGTATCCATACAATCATAAAATGATACAACGTAGCACAGCGGAAGACTCAAACATACGACCTGACTCAATGGACAGACCTGACTCGTACCATCATCATCACACATGTGAGAGAGAAGGGAGGCCGCATACACAGAGGAAGGTTCCCCCCTTTGAGCTCGCACATGGGCTGTATACCACAGATGATGGGAGAGAAAGGAACGAGACAAAGATGGACGCGAGGGAGTAGACCAGAGTCGAGTACACTGCTGTCAAAAAAAAATAGTCTCCCTGTCAAGTGTCCAACCAATGTCTGCCCCAAGAATGCCGAATCAGATCCTGGGCCCCATAGCCCGTAATAGCTCTGCCTGTAACCTTTCTCTCTCTCTCTCTCTCTGAAGAAGAAGAGTAAGAAGAAGAAGAAGAAGAAGAAGAAAAAGAGAAGTCTCCTCTGTCTCTCGCTCACCTGCTACTGCTGAACTCCTGCCGACACTGACTGGTGGAATGGTGCTCTCCGATGCAGGTCGCTGAAGTGCAGTCCAACCTACGGCGCCCAGGTAAGTCGTCCTCCAGCCAGCGGCTATGGCTCTCCAGCCTCTGCTCTCCCACTACCTCCTACTCCTCTACCTCTACCTCAAGCGCAGCACTCCAGAGTCGCATGCTGCTCCAACAGCGTGATGCTCACAATGTTGCCCAACTGAAATATGTCGAACTGGACTGCCCTCCCACTAGATATAGTGTTGGGCCTGGCTGGGCAGCCCACGGTCTGCAACCAGGAGCGTCCAGATCTAGATTCGATCGAAGGCCCTGAATGCAGGCCCAAATCCTCCTCCTGGTGGTATCCTGCTGCTAAAGCAGGCCCTACCTATTAGGGGAAAGTCTGTAGTGACACACCTGGAACCAACAAAAATGGACCAGACAGCAAGACTCAGCAAATAAAGAAATAAATAAATGCTGAATCAAAAAAACACAGCAAGACTCAGCAAAAAGATAAATAAGGGAATAAATTAATGCTAATTCGAAAAACGACAGCAAGACTCAGCAAAAAGAAAAAAAATAAGGGAATAAAATTCCATAAATTAATGCTGATTCAAAAAAAGAACCTGCATGAGGCAGAAAAACATGCCTGGTCTGGAAATGGCTGTGGGCCTCCAGGTTGCACAGGCAAAAAATGGCGTGCGGCCTGGGGGCCCCTAACAACCGTTGGGCCCTAAGAAAAAGGGCCCGTGTACAGGCCTCAGCATGCGACAATCTTCTTGAAGGAAATATGTCTGTCTAAGCAAAAGGAGTGAGTTTGGAGGCATGGAAAACAGGTTGTGTGCACAAGTGCCCAGGTATTGGAACAACATACGACAGTCCGTCTGGTTCATCTCCCACTATGTCTTAAGACTTCCCATGGTCCAAAGTACTGACGTATGAGATTTCTAGATATACCCAGTCCCTGTCCCAGTACGTATGACTTGACCCACACTCTTTCACCTACCTGAAATGCAGATGGCCGTCTGTGCTTGTTCTCAGATGCTACCATAGCATCTTGAGCCTTCCTAATCTGTTCAACAGCCTGCTGCAGCATTCTGTCGTACTTGACAGGAAATTCAATGCTGTCAGGTGCTATTGTGGCCTGGTTCTCAGGCAGCAGAAAATCAAGAGCCGATCTGGGCCTCCAACCAAGATGAAGCTGGTTGGGAGTCATGCCGATAGTGCTGTGCACAACATTGTTGTACAGGCCAGCAATGAGAGGTAACTTCCAATCCCAGTCGTCCTGGCTTGGCTTGACGTAATGCCTGAGCAAGTGCCGCACTACACGGTTCATTTGCTCAGCTTGGCCATTCGACTCAGGGTGATTACCTGATGTCATTTGCAGCCGGGTCCCCATCTGCTGGGCCGTGCTCTGCCACAGCTTACCTGTGAATCTGACGTCCCTGTTACTAACGATGAACTTAGGAAGACTGAAGTCACACACCCGAATATCCATGAACAGCTTGATTACATGGTCAGTCTTGGCAGTCTCTGGCATAGCAATCAGTCTAGCGTACATACTAATCTGTCCATGATGACGAAGATGTGCTTTTTAAACCTTTTTTCCCCTTTTGCTGGTCACCAGGGTATCCATGAAGTCCATGGACACACTCTGGCCAGCGCCAACAGGAGTAGGCAAGGGCTTAATAAGCCCAAGTTGCACTTGTGTCCTTGGTTTATCGCTTTGACAAACCAGACAAGTCTCTACATACTTCTTGGCGTCTTCCATCATCATGGGCCACCAAAATGCTGCACCAAACTCATTGACGTTTTCTTGTAACGAAAATGACCGGTTGCATTGTCGGCCCAAATACCCTTACAAGGGTATTTGTGCACATTTTTTTGCATCTGGCAGAAGATGCATTTCTGGTGATATTCGAGAGAGTGTCTCATTTCTGCGTAATGACAACCAACTCTCGGACTTTGGGAATGACAGACACGCAATTTGATCAGATAAGAGGGTGTGGTCATCAACCGCCTTGGCGGTTGTCTAGCGTCGAGAGATTAACTCCTCAAGGCGAGTGTCAGCTGACACTTGAGTGTCGAACGTGACCCTCGAGTTTATCGAGGATCGCGTAATTATGGGTATTACACAGTACTCCATCGTTGCGACTGTTTGCGTATGCTTGCATGGCTAGTATATATGAGAAAAGCCCTCGCGCGGTTTTATCTTGAGTCTCGTGCGCGGCGCCTAACCGATTTTCGTGTTAAAAGGTTAAAGGTTGGATATTGAAGGGACTAGGAGAGTTTTGTTTTTGTGTGCATTTTTTTTAATTATTGTGTGGTGTAACGCGTGGTGAGTGGAATGCGTCCTAGTCGACCGACGACGAGTCGTGCTTGGAACCTCAGCCCCCCAATGCGTCAATTCACGTACGGGTCCGATTCGAGGCATTAACTGCGTGTACCCCCTATGCTACAGCAAACGAGAAACGCCCTCGATTGGGCCACCTCTGCGATTGCATACGAAAAGTCTTCGCATGTGGTTCGGTAACTCGGGGGGAATACGCCCGCCCAAGGGATGGTGACAGCTCCCGCGGATGGAAGTAAGTTGTACCTCGCGTGCCCTATCTTGTCGTAGGGGTTCGTGAGAGGTATGGCTAGCGCACTCGCCCGGAGCGGCAAACGCTCTCCACGACAAGCCCTGCATAATCCTGCGTGATGTGGTCGGAAGGGTCCCCCTGCGGGACCGATACGCTCAAAAGCGTTATGACATTCACCTAGAAATAAAATATGCAAAGATTCTTAAGACGGTATACACAATCTTTTATTCCGGGCATTCTCGAGAAACAGCAAGCCATTGACCAGCACAAATGCATCGAATGCTACCTTATCTTTGACCTCGAGCTTGTGCATGATCTCAAACGTCAATGTGTCCTCTCGATAGGCTTCCACCATGGATCGAATTACATCATCGGATATACCAAACTTAGTCACTAGCGCGCCCAGATAGTCCTCTCTCCTAGATAAAGCATCCACTACCTTATTGTACTCTCCGTTGAGGTGGTCCAACTTGAAGTCGTACATATTTATGACTTCAATCCACCTCTTGAGTGTGTCAGAGACAGCAGGTTGCATCTTAAGCCGCCAGTTCACGAACCCCTACTATTCACCAAAACGCACTACACTGCGACCGTGGCAAGGTGAACAGCGATCCGACACGATGCAGGTTCGGAGGGAAAAGGCTGGTGGGCCCAAGAAGAATGGATTGAAAGCAAAATTGAGAAAAAAATGAGAAATTGGGCTTTATTGCACTATTAACTCAGACGTCCTGCCTTGCTGGTAGGGCACTAATCTTAGAAAAAAACAAAAGGAAAACAAAACGAATTTGGATATAATATCCATCTGATACGTTCTGGAACATAGTTCTGTGAGTATGCCCTGAGTGAAGGCATTCCCAAGAATGTGAATACGAAAAAAAGAAAACGGGAATAAAAGATATGGCCATGATAGCGGTCAGATACAGTCTCAAAAGTACTAGTATGAGTATGCCCTCAGTGAGGGTCTTTCCGGCGAACGTGGAATATGCCCTGCCTCACAGGTAGGGCATTGCAAGAAAGAAGAAGGAATTCCAATGATTTGCCAGTGATAGTGGTCAAATATATTATGGACAAGTCAGGTGGCTTTCCCCACATCTCTTTTTTGTTTCTTTCATGAAATGGCTTTCCCCACATCTCTTTTCTGTTCATCATTGATCTGGATTTAGTAGGGTTTTTTTTTTTTTTTTTTTGGCTTATCGGTGCCATCTGTTGGCACGAGGTACAACAATTGAATTTCAAGGTAGGCTGGTACCAGTATCCCGAGATTTTTCTTTTCAGCTTGTTAATGTAGCAGGCTAGGAAACGTGCAATTTTCAGTTTGTCAATTTAGCATTGTGCGAACTGGTGGTTAATCCAACGAAGAGTCTTATGGTCAGATCTCACGTAGAAAAATCTGCCAACGAGGTACTGCCTCCAGTGAGTCAACGCTTGGTATAGAGCGTAGAGCTCCCACTCGTAGGTGGGCTTAGCTAGCTTTTGAGACGATATCTTCTTACTCATGTACTCGATCGGCCCCAACTCTTTCCCCTCCTACTGCGCAAGGACGACGCCAATGTCATATTGATTGGCATCCGTCGTCACAACAAAAGGATTCTCAGAATCCGAAAGCTTCAAGACTCCATCGTGTGTGAGAGCATACTTCAATTCCTTGAAGGCTGCCTCACACTCATTTGTCCACTCCCATGAGGTGTCAAGGCGCGCGAGGTCCGTCAATGGGGTATGCTGGCCACCTTCACATCGTTAGGCCTCAGCCCATCTGCTGAAATTTCATGACCCAAATACAAGATCTTGGTGCGACCAAACTCGCATTTCTCCAAGTTTACCTTGTATTGGTGCTGATGAAGGAGACTCAACACCAAGTCTACATGTTTGGCGTGCTCTTTCACACTCCTAC